GCAAAGACGAGCAACGAAGTTAGTTCCACAACTTAAAAAGATTTCATATGAAAAAAGACTGAAAGCAATGGGTTTAACAACATTAGAGAAAAGACGAGCTAGAGGAGATCTTATACAACAATACAGATTCAAGCAAAATATAGACCAAATAAATTGGTACAAAAATCCAAAACCGGCATCATCCGTGACTAGTTCAGGCCCGGCTTTTTCTGTAAGGGGCAATAAATACAGGCTAGAAAGAGAATGCGTACCATCATGTTTACCGAGATATAATTTTTTTACCAATCGAGTTTGTAAAAATTGGAATTTGTTACCAAATGAAATCATTGAAGCAACATCGTTGAATGTTTTCAAAGCGCGAATAGATAAACATTTTTCATAACTTGTGTTTTTTTAATTTGTGTGGGCTGTCTATAACCCGATGCTTGCATCGCGTTCCACAATTTATTTTATTTTTAAATATTTATATTTAAACAAATATGTAACTATTACAGCAATAAATATTACTATTACTATTACTATTACTATTGATTTGATGCCGGCTGGTAGTCAGGTTTCCCGAACTCTGTCGTAGCTCTCAGAGAGGCTGATTTCATCAACAGCTGTAAAATATCAGATTACTAAAAGTGCCATGTTGTGCATGGATGGTTTTCCTGTTCGTACCTTTGGTGTGCATTGTCGAGGCCAATTTTGGAGCCCTTTATTACGGCTCAAGGTTTATTAATTGTTATGCGGCAACTGCTTGGGTTATAAAATAGTGTACTGAGTACTATATGTGCTTTAAGTCGAGTTCTTTAACAAATTTAATAATGACTTAGTTACCTAAATCTATAAAACTCCTATAACCATGGTCATCATCAAGTTCTGTAAATCTATCATTCAATAATATTCGTGGTCTTCGAAGTAACTTTTCTTCTGTTGAAATCTAGTAAACTTAGCAAGAAATAACTCTTGATAAGTTCACCAGATCTACTTGTTTTTTGTAGGACTAATTTGAGTTCGACTGCTCCATCTTTTGATCTTAGTGTTTTTAGTTATTTTTTTTTAATTTGAAAAAACTCGAATAGTCACATACTTGGCTTAAGCATTTACATTCGTAAGAATTCACCTATTTTTCGGGAAAACTAGGTTTGAATTCACAGACTATACTTTATGTGCTTTCGTTTAGCACCACTTCATTCTATCGCCTTTTTTTTTGTTCTATATCGCTTTTTTTCATGTTAAGGCTGCATTCTTTTTGGTGTTATTTCTGATCAAATAGGCCAAGCCCTTTATCTTACAGCCAACATTGTTGTTAGTGGTGACTTTAATGCTCATCACACTGAATGGCTTGGCTCTAGTGTCAGTCACTCTGCTGGCGTTAAAGCCAACAACTTTTGTCTTTCTCAATCTTTAACTCAAATAGCCAACTTTCCAACTTGCTTTCCAGATTATCCGAATCATTTACTTTCTCTACTCTATGTCTTGTTTCTGATCCTAGTCAGTGCTCAATTTCTCCACATATACGAGTGTTTTTGATCAAGGTTTGATCTCTGTAAAACTTATTTTTCTTCATCGTATCTCTAATTGTACCTCTTACAACTATCATAAAGCTGACTAGAACTCTTTCCTTGATTTGCTTCGTGATGGTCAATGGGTAAAAATCTTTTGTCTTTCTGCTGACAAATCTGCTTTTTATATAACTTCTTGGCTTCAGGTTGGAATGGAGTCTTTTATTCCCTTTTGACAATTTAAATTTGAGCTTCATTCTTTGCTGTGGTTTTCCTTGCAATGTGCTGCTGCAGTTTCCAATCAAAACTATTACTTCCATATCTAACAGCAAAACAATTCTCTAGAAAACAGACGTCTGTTTACTATTGATAAAAACGATTATAAAAAATTTTTGTCTAACGCCAAAGCTCGCTGATCTCAGGTCAAAAAATCTCGTATTTAAACTCAAAAGTTAGACTCTCCTGACTTCTGGAGAAACTTTATCTGTATCAATAATAAAGACAAATCTGTTGTTTTACTTCTCTTGAATGGTTCAGATTTTGTCACCTCAACTAAATACAAACCTTAATTATTTGCTAAGAACTTTTCATCATTATTGTCATTTGATTCCACTAGTTGTCTAGATTTAGATCAATTGGTCGACATTAGTATCACTCCAACTTCTGTATCTAAAGTAATTTTCTGCTTTGACTCTTCTACAGCTTGTGGTCCGGATAACATAGCTGTTATAGTCTTTCAGAAGTGATCTCCGGAGCTGTTGTCTATACTTTCAGAACTATTTAACGAATGCCTATCAGAGTCTTGTTTTCCAGCTAGCTGGAAAGAGGCATCTATTATCCTTATTTTCAAAAACTCTGGAGAGTGATCTGATTCGTCTAACTAGCGTCTCATTAGTCTACTTCCTATTATAAGTAATGTTTTTTTAAGGTTATCTTTCTTGAAATTTTTAAAACCTTTAATAACGTTTGGCATAAGCTTACTTATTTCGGTGTAACATCTTCAATATTATAGAATCCTTCCTTACCAATTTTAGTGTTAAAGTTGTCCTCGATGGATAGCACTCTTCTTCATATCACGTCACTTCAAAGGGTTTTTCAAGGTTCAATCCTTGACCCTATGTTCTTTTTAATTTATATTAATAATCTTCCAGATATTCTCGCATATCAAGGTGGCATTGTTTGCTGATGATACTACCATTTATTTTTGTCTTGATAAGAAGGTAACACTCTTTAATTGCTTGGAGAGGGCATTAAAGTTTGAAAACGATCTCACTTCTGCTACAGCATGAGGCTCACAGTGGCTAGCGAACATTAATTCAGATAAAACTCAATTTTTTTCTGCTAATTGTTATTGCAATAGTCTATATCTTCCTATATTTATAAACAGTAATGTACTCAATGAGTCATCTACCCTTCATCTTCTAGGATTGACTTTTTCTTTCAATCTTTTTTGGAAACCATATATTAAATCAATTGCAAAATTAGCATCTGCTAAGGTTGCATCTCTTTATTGTGCTCGCCACTTTCTTACACCTTATTCTATTCTTTATCTCTATAAATCTCAAATTGCCATATCTAAAGAGGATCTTCGAATGATGCCCTTTCTCTTTTAGACAAGGAGCAAAAACGCCTTGTAAACATAGTTGGACCTGCTCTTGCAGCCAACCTTCAACCCTTATCACATTGTCACAATGTTGCTTCTCTTTCTCTTTTCTATAAACACTATAATGGACACTGCTCTAAAGAGCTAGCGTCTCTTGTGTCATCTACTCTTTGGAAGCAGCCTTGTTGAAAGTAAAATTGATAACATATATATATATATATATATATATATATATATATATATATATATATATATATATATATATATATATATATATAATATATGTATATATTGGTTCATAGTTTCCTGACACTAATACAAATGGACGACACCGAAACCAGACATGTAATCTCAAACTATGAAAAAACCTTATCTGTTTTACAGTGGGAACATTACATTCAGTACTAAGTCTGTCTCCTACTTTTCTTTAAACGTAGTTCCTCTAAGCACCACAAAGTTCTTCAAAAGTGCTCTCATCACTCCAAAGGACTATGTTTTAGTTGTCGATAGTCTAGTGTTTATACGCAGCGGCAAAAGCTTGTCGCTTCTGTAAGTTGTTGGTGTGCAGAAGTAGCTTTTAAACTGCAATATTGCCATTCAATACAATATCAAGTAACTTTTTCTGCACTGCTCTTGTAGCCAAGACCGTGCTATGTTGCTTTTCGTTAGACTAACCATTCAACTTATGTTGAAGTCGTCTGTATGTTACACTATACGAATAGAATTTCTGCATTTAAGTAGTTTTAAATGACATATTTTTATTACATATATATTTATTTATCTGTATATAAATTATATATAAATCCTATACTTCCTTTTAAAAACGTACTGAGAGACTCTTTCTTGCGATTACTTCCACCTTAACGGTTGCCAAGAATTCTACTACTATATTACTACTAATATTACTGCTACTACAATTAACTGTAACCAAAGTACATAGGCAACAAAACTATACTAAGTCCTATCAAAAAAGACTGTTTTCAAAATTATTCAATGACCAAGAGCACAAAATGCAACAAATTTTTCCTGTAGTGATGACTTAAAGCCGCTACTGTACAACAAAAATGCTTTTCTGATGAGTTTTTATTAATTTGATGAAACACTGTGTGTGTTTTTGTGTTTGTGTGTGTCTATATATATATATATATATATATATATATATATATATATATATATATATATATATATATATATATATATATATATATATAAATATATATATATATATATATATGCTGCCGTCCTAAGAAAAAACGCAGTAATCGCAAAAATTGAAAAATCGAGATTATTGCACCAAACGTTTTAACATCGTTTTCTGTGTAATAACGCTCTATATAAAAATATTGTGGTATATTCCGAAGTCATTAAACCCATAGTTCATTTTGCCGTAAGTTAAAAAAATATATACACACAAAATTTAAAAGTGGCTTTTTCTCAGAATGTCATTTTTGTTGTTTACTGCGTTTTTACTTAGGGCGGCAGTATGCATATATATATATATATATATATATATATATATATATATATATATGCATATATATATATATGCATACATATATACATGTATATACACATATATGTATACATATATATATATATTCATATATATATTTATATATGTATATATATATGTATAAATATATATATGTAAATATATATAAATATATATATATATATATATATATATATATATATATATATATATATATATATATATATATATATATAATATATATATATATATATATATATATATATATATATATATATAATATATATATATATATATATATATATATATATATATATATATATATATATATATATATATATATATATATATATATATATATATATATATACATATATGCTTATATTTATGTATATATATACTATATGTCTCCTAGGTTACCATTATGTTAGACTTGTAACTGGAGTTCTCTTTTTCATAAGTATTTTTATGATCCTTTGTGTTTGTTACGCAAACCTGTTGCAGCAATGTAAAAGACGAAAGCGATATTTTATCAAGAATGATTACCTAAAAAAATACAAGGTTTTTGCTGGGATCTTATCACCTTTGATCAGAAACAATCTTGGCTGGACAAAAAATTTAGAAGTAATTAAAAACAAAAATGTAGATGATTTTCAACTCAGACAAAATGTTAAGTTTGTAAATGCAGTAAGTAGTTAATGAAAAATATCAAAAATCCAGTATTTTGCACAAACGCGCACAATACATTGTGTGCGTTGTTTGATTATGAGTTCTGTTTTCAATTTTTTTTTTTTTTTTTTAGGTTGCATTAGTCATTCTTTTTATATTTCAATAGTTTGTGAATGCTTTATAATACATAGTGTTGTGACCGAAACTAAAATTAGTTACTAAGTTAACTAAAAATACCGTAACAAAACTAGTTTAATTACTTTTGAGTTCGACTGAAACTAGTTTACTGACTTTTAGTTTGCAAATATTTGTCGAATACTTTATTAATTGAATCAAAAATATTATATTACAACTGTTAACGCTGAAAATAATTATGAATAAAATAAATTTTAAGTTGATATTATTAACATGTATAAAAGATTCACTAAAATAATTATGTTAATTATTAGGGTGTGTCGATTTTCACTTTTTTTCAAAATTTGATGATGACTAGTATTTTTTTTTTTGTAAATCCTTATGCAAAACATGAAAATAATTTTTTTTTGAAAAAAAAAGTATTTTAAGCTACTTTTTATCACCCTCAAACTTTTATTTTTTTGGATTTTTTTATTCTAAAAACTGAAGTTTGCCGTAATCTCCGAAGAAGATCGCATATTTACCAAACCATATAGCAAACTAAAATTTAACTCTGTCCGAAAAATACTCCATTTCAAAATTTAGTTTAATAAACAACGTGTAAACAACAATTATATTTTAAAAATACACTCTCCTTTTTGCAGTGTTTACACTTTTTTGGATGTAATAAAAATTTTTATTATTAACCGTTTGTTTTACAAGTTGAAAAATCTACAATTTATAATGCTTTGTTATTAAATTTTAATGCCTTTCAAAAACCTTATCTATATAAATGTATGCATGGATGTATATATATATATATATATATATATATATATATATATATATATATATATATATATATATATATATATATATATATATATATATATACTATATTAGTAATACGCATCTGACTTATTCTTATATTAGTCGTTGAAGTAAAATAAAATAAAGAGCATAAACAATTTTTGGAATCTTTTTTTTTTAAAATTGATATAAAGATGTCATATACCACTAAAACAAGAAGTAAATCAGCTTGTTAGCTTAGTAACTTAATTGGAAAAAGTTCAGAGTTTCTTCCATCAGAACTCCCAACGTCCAGAGATATTCTCAAATATGGCTTATATTTAAGAGAGATTAGTGAAAAAGATTACAGAAACTATACTGTTGATCAGCTTGTAAAGGATATTCTTCCAAAAATGTTGTTACAGTGGAAAAAAGCCAATTCTCAATTTGTAAGTCCAGTTATTAATTCTGAAAGAAGAATTAAAAGTAAAGTAAAAGACTTGTGGTTATTGGCCGTTAAAGTTAGTAATGGCAATGTAGCCACACCAATTAGAAATAAATTTATGGAAAAACTTGATAAACTTTTTGATTTGTTTACATGCAATTGTAAAATATTTTTTTGCTTAGAAAATAAGTGTGGAGAAAATTGTGACAGAAAAGCTCACATTGTATGTACTTGTAAAAAAGAACAAAAAATTCCTCTTCTTGAGTTGAACTTTGTAAGACATCAAAGAGAAAAAGTTGGAACCAAAGCTATCCTTCAAATAGCTGGCATTGATCGTGTTGAAACTCAGAAACAAAGTAAAAAAATTAAACGACATACAATACAAAATCAGGTTTCACAAACAAAAAAATCAAAACTAGACCAGGAGATTGTAAATCAAGAAAATGATTTTTTCTTTCCCGAGAGTGACTCAGATGAAGTCTGTGAAGAGACAAATGATAAAATAAAAATGAATATTTCAAAAAAAGTAAAAGAAAAAAATCAATTGTATAACACCATGAAAATAAAAAATATAGCATTAGCAAGCTTAAGGCATCATACAGGTTTAAGAGAAACTGCGGAAATAGCAACTGCTGCCCTTATTGATGCTAAAATTATCACTGAAGGAAACACTTGCTTAATTATCGACCATAACAAAGTTAAACGAGCTCAAGAAAAAATTGGAAAAGAACTGACCTCAAAATTCCATAAGGAACTAAACAATAATGGTTTGAGTTGTATTTTTTTTGATGGTAGAAAAGATGACACTAAAATTTTTTTTGATGTTGAAGGCAGAAAATTCCCAGGTCTAATAAAAGAAGAACATTATACTGTGTGCAGTGAACCTGGTGGAAATTATCTATTCCATTTTGTTCCTGAAGAATCTGATTTTAAAAGACCTGCTGAGATAATTGCTGATCATTTAATTGAATGGCTTAAAGAAAGATGTTTACATTTGACATTGGAAGCCATAGGTTGTGATAGTACTAATGTAAATACTGGATGGGCAGGAGGAGTAATACAATGGGTTGAAAAAAAACTTAATAAAAAACTTGTATGGATTGTATGTGACCTGCACACTGGGGAGCTAGGGTTAAGAAGTCTTATTAAGTTTCTTGATGGTCCTACTAAAGCCAGCAATCATTGGTCAGGACCTCTGGGTAAGATGTTGGTAATGATGCTACCAACCTTGAAATTAACCCAGAGTTTTCAAAAGTGTGTGAAGGCTCTCCACTTATCTACCTCAGTCCTGACATTATCAAAGATCTAAGCACCGATCAGAGCTATGCATACCAAATTGTGACATCTCTTAAAACTGGAGTTCTGCCTAAGAGACTGGCATTACTAGAAATTGGTCCTGTTTGTCATAGTAGATGGCTAACTACTGCTTTAAGATTTTGCAGAATCTGGGTGTCAAAACATGGATTAACAGGTGACCTTTTAAATAGGTTGAGAATGATTGTTGAGTACATAGTAGGTGTGTATGTTCCTAACTGGTTTAACATCAAAGTAAATTCATGCTGGGTGGAAGGACCAATAAACTTACTTAAACAGATGCAGTTATTAAAAAATCAAACTCAGGAGGTAATTGACATTGTTTTACCCACTTTTAAACGATCAGCATGGTATGCTCACCCTAAATCAGTTTTGCAAAGTATGCTCTGTAGTCAAATTGAAGATGAGAGAAAAGAAGCAGTTAATAAAATAGTTGAATTAAGAGGAGCTGGGAATGATGCACTTCAATTTGGAGATAGATCTTTTAGGATTCGAAAGACTCCTTCCATCATTATGAAAGCAACTTGTTTGTCTGAACTTATAGACTGGAGTGATATTACTGAACCACCTTTAACATGTAATCTATCAACTGAAGCAGTGAAGGAATTTATTAACACTCCAATGAATGTAAAAAAGTGGCCCTCTCATACACAATCTGTTGAAAGATGTGTAAAAATGACAACTGAAAGTGCTTGTCATGTCTTTGGTCAGGCCAGAAGAAATACTTACATTTAAGGTCAAATAGCTAGCAGAGAACTTATGTCAAATAATTCTAGTAAAAAAGATATGGTAAACCTCATTGAAAAGAATTGGTTGCAAATAGTATTTGATTGTGCTTAGTTAGATAACTATGACTTGGACTTGTTGTTTTATGAAGTAAATATAAACATGAGTGTTCAAAAAGTTTAAAGTTTTACATTTTACTCCAAACTCTTTCCAACTAAAGTAATGATCTTGCAAGTTAAATTTTAGTTTGCTATATGGTTTGGTAAATGAGTGCGATCTTCTTCGGAGATTACGGCAAACTTCAGTTTTTAGAATAAAAAACCAAGTCCAAAAAAATAATAGTTTGAAGGTGAAAAAAAGTAGCTTAAAATATTTTTTTTTTCAAAAAAAAATTATTTTTATGTTTTTCATACTGATTTACAAAAAAAAAAATACTAGCCATCATCAAATTTTCAAAAAAATTGAAAATCGACACACCCTATTAATTATCCATCTTAATTTAGTGAATATTTCATTCAATCATTTAGGAAAATATCACTCATAAATTATATATAATTGTGTCATAAAAATATATCGTTAAAACTCTTGCTTTTTTCTACAAAATAATTGTCTGAAATCTTTAATTACTACTATCGATTTAAAATAAAAGAAATAATTATATTTTTGTGAGCAATTGCTCACATAGGAGAAAAGTGTGCAAAAGTTTTCGCACAAAAAAGATCAGTTTTTAAAAAAAAATTTTACGTAAAATTGAGCAATTACTTTATAAACGCTGGGTAAACGCATTTGCTCTTTTTTATTTACCTGGTTTAAAGTGTGGTATGCCCTAATTACTGGGCGTTCCTAATTGGTAATATGAAATAACAAGAGGCATAATAAAGTCCAATTAAATTAAGTCCAATTATTATTGACATAAAAGTTCAAATTTAATCCAATTCTTTGTTTTTTTCATATAATAATTCTGTCTATATTAAAGCAATAAAAGCAACCTTTGTTCCAAAAAAACATTAACATATGTTCTATTAAACTTTCTTTTTCATATAACGCATACTTACATAAACCTTAATTAATTATTCCAATATATTTATGTTAGCTAAAGTTATAGAGGCTTCTTTATTTTGCAGAAAAATGGGTAATATATTTATGTACTACTTTAGTTGTATTGTACTATATTTTATTTTTAATATTTTTTTATCTATTTTATTTTTAAACTTACTTTAACCTTTATACAATTAAAATTTATTTAACTTTCAGAGGAATCAGAACTAGAATGTTCTTGCTTTACGAGTTTATTTCGACTAGCACAGGCGTCAGCAACCTATTTAAATAGAGAGAGCCATTTTTCCTTAAGTATTGTTTTAAAAAATTACTGACAGCCGCAAATATGCAATTGTAAAAAGCTGAAGTCAATATCAAAAACTTATTATTTTATGATATTTATTATGTCTTATTCCTTATTTTTACATATACTGTAAAGTAAAGAACTAAAGCTAACAATTTAATAAAAATGAACAAAAATATTGGTGAGATTTTGTGAGTGAAATGATTTACAGAACTGTTTTATCATAAATGAAGTTCTCTAGTTTTAGACAACTTTCAAGGGTAATATTCATTTCAATATTTTAAAACATTTTTTATTATTTTAAGTTACTTTTAGTAATGTCTATGTTTTTAAATATCTGCTCACAATAATATGTTAATCCGAAAACTGTCAAGAATTCAAATGCCACCATCTTGGTTGTAACTCTTAGAAAGACTATTTGATGTTTCAAATACAATTTGATCTTCTTTTTAAGAAGTTAAAAGTCGTTTCCATTTATGATCTACGGCAAACTTCTCTGTATTTTTTTCCAAGTTTTTCTTTTTTAAGACAGACGTGCGTGCGAATAGACTCACCCTTTTTAATAATACTTCCAACATTTCGATGCTTTTTAAACGGAAGAAATGAATTAAATTTTAATTACTCATTTCTTAAAATAGTGCATATATATTTGAGTTTCAAAAGAGACTTTATTTTCTTAAGTCAAAAGTGCAATACTTTCTTGTCCATACACATTTTATTGAGATTGCTAAGATAAGCAATCTCAATCATAACCTTAGCACAATAATAATTTTGCAATCAATTGCTTTCGTTAAACTACGGGTATTCGAAACCTTTTGATGACAAAAACTGCTATATCAATGCAGTGACCAAAACGTTTAAGAACACCCCCCCCCCCCTTTATAAACAACGGATATTTTTATACAACAGATCAGAAAATCATTTATTAACTTCATCAAGTAATAAACGAAGTTCGCAAGAATTTGTCGTTTCTAATTATTTTTTACTACCAAATCTTTTTAAACCGAATCTTGAAGATAATTGTTTGGCTAAATTAAAGTGCTGTTTAAAAAGTTAGCCAGATCACGGTTTAACGATGTTAAAATAATTTCTAATCTTGCAATACTGTTTTCACACTGATTTTATTTATATTAAAGCATTTCATGCATAAATTAAATAGTGTTGACATTTTTGCGTGCTAATTTTTATTCACAGAGCAACGCCTGTGTTTGAGCAATACTATTTTAATAATTATGTAGTTTGTTTTAATATAACTTTATGGGATAGTCCATAAATAACGCAACACTAAATTTATTTTGAAAAAAGTCGGGATCTTAAGCCCTTTTACGCGGCCATTTTTGTTAGACTTAGTTGGCTATTTTTGTTAGACTTAGTTGGCTATTTTTATTTTTTAACTTAAAGCTCTGCAAGAGGAAACCTTTGATCTTTTTTGTGATGTTTGTTAGTAAAATTTAGCGTTCCGTAATTTATGGACGATCCCTATTCAAATTATTATTTTATCGCATAAAAACATTTTCGGGAAAATATTTTTACAATAATAAATTAAATTTTTTATTTGTTTCAATAAAATTAAAGTATGTATAATACAGACACTTTAAAGAACCACACAATTAGGGTAAAAGAGACGCATGCGGCTCGCGAGCCGCGTTACCAACCGCGTTACCCATGTACTAGCAGAAAGTTTAAAAATTCAAGCGATAAGTATCGACTTAAGCGTTTTATAGCTTTGATCCGAATTTTAAATTTTTTATTTGCCATTTAAAAAAACGTTAAACCTTACTCTTTTTCTGAACGAATGATTTTTTGAACTCATTTACTTATGAATCTACTTTTGCTGGTTTATTTTAATTTCTTTTTTCATTCCTTTATTTTTTTGTCGGAAATGATTTGTTTATACTTTATATTAGTAAATAAAATATAGTAAAACAGATTAAAAACGCGGCAATGTTGTAATAAAGAGACTTCACAAGGTTAAGATGATGGGTTTATATTAAACAAAAGAATTTTATTTCTCAATTTTTCTACAAATTTCACACATTGTGTGATTTTTAAAGAAAAAGCTAAGTTCATTATTTTTGCATTAAATATTTGAACTTGGTTTTCTGTGTTTTCAAATGTTAAAAAAGAACATTTGAGATTGTTAAAAAAAAATACGAAAATAAAATAAAAAACAACGAAATTAAAAAAAAAAATTATTGTCCTTGGATTGGAACGATTGAGTTGGATCAGTGTTTGTAGTCTATATTTTGCTTAAAAATTACATTTGAAAATTGTAGTATAAAAGAGTTTACACAACAAAACTCAAGGCAAGCATTTCAATATGATATTTTACGTAAGAAGCAGCTTTGTTTAAAAATAATTTTCTTTTAACCTAATAATGTAAATATTTTAATTTTATTAGACGTGATTGAAATCTTAAATGCTTGCATTTTCTTCCAGTGTTAAGCTAAGTTCCTGGATAAACAAAAACTGTAGTGCGTCAGTTGTAACACAAAAGATAATTTCCCTTAACCGAGCTCTATTTGTTGTTTGTTCCGTGAGTAATCTTTACTATAAAGTTGCAGAATATTTTAAAACAAAATTTTCATAATTGTATCTAACCCGCGGTACGAATACTATTAGATATTCATACTACGTTGCACCGTTGTAAAAATGTTTTATTTGAAAATTAAAAATTGTTTATCAAAAGCAATTTTATCTTCAATATTAAAATTTCGTGTTGAATTTATTTCTTTCCACTACAATTACTTCCTAATCATTAGTTTTCAAATCTTTACTAATATAATAAATTTTACAACATGTTTTTGTAGCACTAAGACTTACACCATAGCCCTTGCAAATATACCCTCAGCGCACAAGCACTCTTTTTCCCTCACCCACTTTTAATTATTATTTTTCAAAACCTCACACAGCAGATTTTTTGATAGACTTAACTTGACTTGCTTGGGTGTCTTATAAATAGACACATTTGATTAGAATTTATTGATGGACAAACTATACAATTACTAGACTAGTTTGGAGAAATAAGGTAATATATCAGATGTTCTTTATGATAAATGCATTAGCTATAGAGTATACATTATTTTAGTTTACAATTATTTTTGACTTTTTTAAATTTTAGTTACCATTTAGTTATCACAAATTATATTAGCTTTTTTGTTCTTTAGAAACAAAAGTGCTTCTTTTCTTTACCTGATTAAATTAAATTCATTATATAATTAAGTTAGTCGTCAACAAAATAGACATGTACTAATAGACTTCTCAACAGAGAAATTCAATGCATAACATTCGAAAAAAAACTCTAGGGGAAAATGGGGCAAGATAACGATTGTGGCTTTTTATATAACAACTCAACAAAAAAAAAAAAAAAAATGGGTGGAAACAAAACTGTGCATAAATATTGTAATTAAATAAATATAAATTTGGTATTTAAATTTTTGTTAAGTATTTTTTATGCCTAAAAAAAATATTACGCTTAGGATTATTCCTAATGGGTGGTATTCTGAGGGTGATTTTTTTTTTAGTCATATTTTTTAATGGGTGGTATTCTGAGGGTGATTTTTTTTTTAGTCATATTTTTTAATGGGTGGTATTCTGAGGGTGATTTTTTTTTAGTCATATTTTTTAGTGGGTGGTATTCTGAGGGTGATTTTTTTTTAGTCATATTTTTTAATGGGTGGTATTCTGAGGGTGATTTTTTTTTAGTCATATTTTTTAATGGGTGGTATTCTGAGGGTGATTTTTTTTTAGTCATATTTTTTAATGAGTGGTATTCTGAGGGTGATTTTTTTTTAGTCATATTTTTTAATGGGTGGTATTCTGAGGGTGATTTTTTTTTAGTCATATTTTTTAATGAGTGGTATTTCAGTATTTTTAAAATGTTTGTCATCTTACTCTGACTTTTTCAATAAGAAAACTTTTTCAAACAAGAAACTAAACAGAAAAAAGAGATAGAAAATATTAAAAAGTTAATAATGTTGTAGGCGAGAGTGGGGCACCATGATAGACTTACGATTTTTTCTTCTAAATAATTTTTCTAGTACGCCTTTTTATTAGGCAAATAATTTAATTTGTAGAATAAAGTTATACCTTCAAAACTAAATTTATAAGTTACCAAAATATAGCAGGTTAAACCTATGAGACTATTTAAAGTAAAATTATAAACTTGATTAAAGGTATTGCATGGGGTATCGTGGGTACACACTATAAGCATCATAAAATAATAAATAAAAGTATAAAACGTAGAAAAAAACAGATTTTTACTTGAATCACTAACTAATAAGTCATTATAATCCAAATAATGCATCCAATGGTCCAAATCAAATTTGAGAAGACAAGCTTCGAAAATGGATCTCCTAGTATTATATTTACATAAATCTCTCAAAAATTGACTGTAAATATTTAAAGGAATAATTTTTAGAGCTGTTTATGAAACATTGAAATACTATTCTACAGTTTTAGGGCCCTCCACAAGTGCTCTATCAAGTTACCCGATACCTGCTAATAAAAATTATTTGCTTTATTTTTAGTATCAACTTGATTTTTCAATGATTTTGTTTAATAAAGTGAAGAGCACATGGATTGTAGTTGACAAAAAAATGTTTTACTTACCGATAGTCACATTGAATAAGATATCTTAAAATTTATGAACATAAAAACTAATAAATTACTTTGTCATCAAAAAAACACAATCTTTAACCATTTCAAGCCTAATGATTTCAAATGACATAATTTTTTTATAATGAAATCGGTTGTCACAACTCTTAAAACCCCCCCACAATTAAAATATTTTATGGTGCCTCATGTATTATGGTGGCCACCTTCCCGTAGTTAGAAATTATAAAAACTTATAACTTTTTAATTTTATGTAAATTTTTTCCCAGTTAAAATTATATTATGTTATGCCAACAAAATTTATTCTAAATAAGGTTTCATCTTCAAAAAGTATATAAGGTTTTGGTTATTTTGTGTTGTTGGTAGTGTTATCTGTTGTTAACTTTTCTTGCAACTGTCAATGCAGCAGGAGATACCTTACTACACTGTAGCAAGATATTACTATCATTTTATTTAAACAAACAAAACTTTCTGATGTTGTAAGTTTTTTTTTTTTTTTGGATAAATGATTATATATATTTATATATATATATATATATATATATTATTATATATATATATATATATATATATATATATATATATATATATATATATATATATATATATATATATATATATAAATATAACTTTTATAAATTTTTTACATCATTTTATTAAGTATCGCCATGTTTCTCTGCGCAGCGGTCTTGCTTCTCAAGGCTCGCATTTCGGAGTTAAGAGAGTTGTAAAAAAAACGAAATTTCAAAAAATCATTCAGAGTCATTTTCTTGACTTTTTTGGCCGCCTAGTTCATTAAGAGGTGGATAAATTTAAAAAATGGGTAGAACCCACGTGGTCTTTTTGAAAACTTCAAATACCTATTAAATCCACAATGGCATCCAACTACAATACGGTACCTAATTTAATTCAACGAACCAAATATAGCATGCTAAACATACAAAAATTTCTGTTAATAAGCAATAAGTTAAATATTAACGCACTTTATTAAATATTATTTTGTTGGCACTATAAGTTTTTGCTTAGATTATAAGGTGTACAACAACCTACCTTACAACAACTTTTAGCCGAAATTACTTAATTAAAGATTACAAATTATATGTACACTTACAATATAAATTTTTAAGTAATATAGTAGACTGTTACTAAATACTATTAATTAAAACAGCCGAAACGCAACGGTTAGAGCCCCTGTTTAGAAGCAATTGATCCGACTTCAATGCGAGCCCAGGCATATTTTGCGTCGTCGTAAGGAAGAAGGCGTGAGGTAC